TTTCCTGTACAGGGTGTAACGCTGTATCCGATTGGCCGATGGCCTCATTATTAAGGGCACATGGGGCAGAAACGAAAGTAAACACACAAACAAACACATTCACACACAGTCTAATGGGGTAAGAGTGACAGTCGACCGCACACGAACAGCATCAACCATCTTCATGTCAAACTGAACGATACACAACAAAAGATCACAATTAACAGCATTCTGCACTCAAAAATCTTGGGTTGAGCCTTTTGGGTCAATTTCTCTGGGTTATTTTTTTAGAGTTGGGTAGTTTTTGGGGTTACCCAGATCCTGGGTCAGATGTAACAATCTACACTCTAAAAAATGCTGGGTTGTTTTAACCCAATTTTGGGTCAAATATGGACAAACCCTAAATGTTGGGTTAAAAATGTAATGTAAAAAATTAACCCAACGGCTGGGTTAGTCCATATTTGACCCAAAGTTGGGTTAAAATAACCCAGCATTTTTTAGAGTGTAGTGTTTGTGCAATTTTTGTGAAACACAGATTCTGGGTTAGACTCACTTAACAACCCAGTGTTTGTTTGGGTAGTTTGTGTTACCCAGATCCTGAATTAGACACAACAACCCAATGTTTGGGCAGTTTTTTGTGTAACCCCTATCTGGGTCAGACGTAACAACCCAATGTTTTGGATACACTCTAAAAAATGCTGGGTTGTTTTAACCCAATTTTGGGTCAAATATGGACAAACCCGAAATGTTGGGTTAAAAATGTAATGTAAAAATTTAACCCAACGGCTGGGTTAGTCCATATTTGACCCAAAGTTGGGTTAAAACAACCCAGCATTTTTTAGAGTGTAGTTTGTGTTACCCAGATCCTGGGTCAGACGTAACACCCCAGGGGTTGAGTTATTTTTTTTTTTTTTTTTTTTTTTTTTTTTTTTATTTAACAGTCAGACATACATACAAACAAACCAACATAGTGCAGTAGTGAGCAATCTTGTAAATCCATAATTCCAGCAGTGGCAAGAGTGATTAAGTGTTTGATCTAAGTGTGTAAGTGAGCGTGTATGAGCGTGGGTATGTGTATGCGTGTGTACACAAAGTAACCATTTATTATTTATTACCATTGTCATTACCATCACTCCCCACTACCACCATACTGCCCATATTGTTTTTGTAGATTTTTATTTCCATCCTTCCTCCTATGTAACGATTGCCATTGTCAATCCTGTACAAAATATGATAATATAATAATATAATATAATAATATAATATAATATAAGACAACCTTCCCCCACATCTCATCAGTCCCTATCTTTTCTATATTTTTCTTTTTTTGTGTGTGTGTGTGTGTTATGTGCAATGTCTAAAGTGCATTAAAAGAGGGTTGAGTTATTGATCGCAGGCTTTTTACAACCTCTTCAGGAGAGAGAGGAGTGCCGCCGCTCGATCAAATTGTAAAATTTTTTTAATCTATAAATTAATTTTGTTTCTGTAATCATTTCATTTTATGCAAAGCAACCATTACGGTGGAAACGTGTTTAATCCGTAAACATTAATTCATGTTTGAAGTAAAAAAGGACAGCTAGTGCTATAGTAAAAATGAATCAACCCAGTGTGCTGGGTTAAGTAAACAACCAAATTTGCCGTGTAAAATGAACCCCACATGTGTTCTGTCCTATATTTACCCAGGCCTTGGGTTGTTCTTTTGAAGGTGACAAGCCTTGACACATAAAATAGAAAAGCCCCTGTGCTGAAGTGAGCAAAGCCTGCCGAGAAAAGACAATAATTAAGAGTCGTGGCTCAGAAAACTAGAGTAGTTTAATGCAACTAATCAGCTGTTGTGTAACACAAGAGTGACATAAGTTACACAGTCAGTCTATCGACTTCATATCTGATGAGGTTTGCATCTGTTATTTCTCCGTTTATTAAAATGAAATCATCTTTTTTGGACGCTGACTTCACGATCACTGAAATGTGTCGCATTGCAAAACAACTCTACACACACACACACACACACAGAATAATCCGATCCCCCCACGTTAATCTGTAAACTGCGGTGTAAACAGGGCTGTCCTCAGATTAAAGCAGCACAAACCCGAGTTAGTGTAAAACTCAGCGACTGCAGGCAAACGCAGATTACACAGCCGCAGGTGTTTGTGAGAATCGGTTTAGAAAACAGCTTTTGATGTCAATCACTGTGTGTGTGTGTGTGTGTGGAGCATATTAATTCGTAAAGACGGCGTCTGCTTTACCCAGCCATCCTGCTGTTAATATTACATGAGTAACAATCTCATTTCTGCCGCTGGAATTATTCATCAGCACAAACTCAAATCAAAACACTGACACGCATATGCATGCTAACAACATCAACAACATCAGAGTGATCATCACGGACCACTTCAAGCTAACGAGGGAGAAACTAACTAAAGACGTGCTCACAACAAGACCAATATTAATATTACCCATGAGTATTGGTAGGTTTAGGATTAGTTGTGGGGGAGGGGTTATGATTAGGGGATTTGTTACACCAGTAGGTGGCGACAAGTGACTGTTAAAAATGTATTGGTCAGTAGCCCCTTTCACACAGCAATCCGGGTAAATTACAGTAAAATGACCCGGATTACTTTACAGGTAAATACACAAATATCCTGTTCACAGAATCAACGGCTAGCGGTAAGAGACCAATCACAGACACACCAGCAGCAAAATATCGTTCAATTCTGTGATGTCACATGTCAGTCATTGGAAATGATCTTTAAACGCCACGTAAATTGCCAGAACCAAATTACAGGTATTTTTCAAAAGGTTCTGATCACACATGATCTGTTACTGGTAATTTACCAGTAAAGACAGTATGTTTAAAAGGGGACGTTGAATCATTAATTTTTTCAAGAGATTTGTTCAAAATGCCAATTCATCCAGTAATGTATTTATAAGTGAGTCATTGAATCATTCATTGAAACCGTTTTTTTTTTTTTTTGCGACTTTCTATTTGATAATTGCGAGTTTACAACATCTCTCAATTCCGAAAATTCTATTTCTCAAAATTGCAAGATATAAACTTGCAATTCAGACTTTTTTTCCCCTCGCAATTGTGAGTTTAAGCTTCACTCTCAAATCGCGCAATTCTGACTTTATAACTCATATCACGCAATTTTGAGATATAAACTCGTAATTGTGAGATAAAATGTCGCAATTACCTTTTTTATTTTTATTCTGTGGCGGAAACACAAGCTTCCATAAAATCATGATCTTGATTTGAAACAACAATATAAAAACGTGATTCTCGATTTATCTGGAATGGTGCAGCGCCAATCGTTCCCAATAGGATTAATGCATTTGGAAAGCAGACAGGACGAATTTACTTTTCATGCCTACTCTAAAATGGGGGCGACGTCTGCAGCAGAGAAGATAAAATGTGTTCGTCTGACAGCTGCGTGTGTGTGTGTGTGTGTGCATACGAGACGGCACTGCAGGTAGACGAATCAGACTGGCAGAAACACACTCTGAAGGGTGTAGATCTGCCTCCAATCACACACACACATATCTGAACACTTCATAAAGCATTTAAAGGTTACAAAAACTCTCACAAAAGCACCTGATCAAAAGAGAAGCTCAAATGCCACTGAAGTCTTGCTGTTTAAAGAACAGGCTGTTTAATCTAACATCTCAATTTAACATCAGGCTTCAGTAGAGGAACGTTCTTGAGCGAGGTTATCCGTCTCTACAGGTACTCTATAATAAAGAAGTCAAACAATGCAGAGCAACCTATTAAAAACCAGGAGCCGTTATCTGTGCGCGTTTATTACGAGCTAAAGGAAACTGCAGCTGATGCAAACGCTGATAAACCACTTTCTTCTGTCTGCACTGGCATTTTTTTCAACCAAGATTATTATTTTAGTTTTTAATATGCTTCAAGACAAACCATGTGCAAATTCATAAGTCAACACCATTGCTGAATATTTTCTCCTTAAAATTGTAGTTTCCATGATTATTATTTTAGTCTTACAAATTTCATGTTCATTTCATGTTTAATTCGACGTGTTTTAATGTAATAATAAGCCAAATTTAGCAGTGATTTCTGATGAAAATCCTAAATCCTACATTTGTTTGGATGTCAAAATCACTTCAGATTATATTTTCAGGGAAATAATGAATCATGAATGACTTTAACTGAGGTGAAGGACTGGACATAAAGAGTCTCTTTCACTGAGAAAAATGTAACGTTACTATGGAAAAAACACGGTTTTGGGGTCATTTACTTTGGTCGTACTCGAACCATTTGAAGTCTAAATGTAATATTAAACATTCGTTTAAAAAAATACCATGGTATTACCACCCTTACACCACAGAGACTCTACTTTTTAACTCTGTTTACATTCCACAGATGTCTTATGTGGAAACTAAACACAGGATGTCATGTCTTGATTGACATTTAACTTTACTGATGTAGTAGCGAACATCCCATACCATATCATCAAACACTTGATTAACAATATTCTTTTCACAAAAGATAAACAAAACGATAATTTTAGCACAGTTCGACGTTACAACAGAAAACAGCGACGAGCGTCGCGTCAGAATCGATGATGGAAATAACGGTCCCACATTTGTACCAGCGCGCGCTCTGAGATCTATACAAATATTGATTTATTGATTATTATCACAGATCATTGCTCATCCTCATACAGACACACATTAACATCCCCCTGACTGAGAGCCAACTTGACCAACAACTCAAACCAAACACAGTCGAACAGAAACACCGCTAAAGCCGCATCACGCGCGAATGCCGCAGTAAGAAAGTACACGAGCAAAACGAGCTGTTTTTAACGAACACAAGCGTTCACAAAGTTGCTGAGGAACGAGACTAGAACGACCTCCATTCCTCCCTCCGTGTCTGACTCCGATACCGCCGATGAGGAGGCGTCGAGCTCGGGCTGTTTTTCTCTCCAACAGTTCCTGCAGAGATTCCCGCGGAAATAAGTTCTAGCGGCAGAATCTATGGTGACGTGTATGCTACTTACCGCGCGCCGAAAGCCGTATATTCCAAATGTATATATAGCGGGAAAGTGCGCTGATGTGTAGCGCGTGAAGTGAAGGAGCTCGAGCTTCAGACTGAAGTCACTCCTTCCGGGCGGGGCCAAAAACAGCGGCTCAATTCACTCACATCCTACAGGAAATTACTCTCATCTTCTTGACATTTCTGTCTGTCTGTCTGCTGATGTTATTCTTAAAGTCACCATTAAATCAAAACTGACCATTCTTATGGAGTATTGCAGTGTTTGTTAATAAATAATATATTTTTTTAATTATTCATGTGCCCTCTCACTGGTTTGAGGTTTTTAAAAGACGAAATAGCTTGGATTTTTATTTTATTTTTAGAAACACTAAGGGCTTTTGCTGACTAAATTTTTTAGGATGAATGTTAGATTTGTCAAGCTGCATTAAAAGTTTAATAATAAAGTAGGTTCTTATCATGGAAACTGACATTCAGTTTTAAAGCACCAAATCAAATTATAGTTAACAAACTTCAAAAATCAAAAAACAGAAATCAATTCAGGATAATTGCGTGGGTGATAAGGACAATTTTCTGGTGACGGGTTTACTGGCGTGAGGGCGGGGCAACCTGCCACTCACATGAGATCCACCAATGGGCTCTATGCACGGTGTTATTTCCGGTGAAGGATTAAGGATGCTCGATAACTTTCGCCGATCATAGAGTCCAATGCAATACCGAGAATTTATATTGAATTTTATACTCCATGGTTATACTAATGAAACGTTAGTCACAAAAACAGATAAAAACAGACACCCCTCGTTATGTTTATGCTTCTTTTTAAAATTATATTAAATAAACATAACTATATATAAAATTACATCTAAACGTATGTACGTTTCGTTTCAAAGACGGGAGGACAGTAAATATTGAAGACTCTGCCATAATCCCGTTTTCTCCGGTTTTCCTCCGCTTTAATCTACACAACCGGAAATGGACGAGCATCCTTACGTCAAATGCGGAACTTATGCGTGCATATAGCCCATAGCAAACCACATTCCCCACGGACAAAATCATTTCAAGCCCCGCCCACATTTGTTCTCGTTTCAGAAGCTTCTCACTCGAATATACAGCATTATAGAGAAGACTTATTATTTTTAGATGACACTATGGAAGTAAATATTGAACTTTTTCAATGAGTGGTTGATTATGATTTCACTTTTTTAACTGTAGTCAGTGTGTAATGTTGCTGTTTGATCGTAAACATTTGCAAAGGAACGATGCTCAAAGTTCAAAGCAAAGGGAGAGATGTTCTATTACAGAAAACACTTTTTAAGGACTACAACAAACGGCTGGAAGAACTACACGAGCTTCCTCCGGGTTAGTGACATCACAACCCAAACATTTTTACATAACCCGCCCCTGAACACACAGTGTATGTTGAGAAGAGGAAGAGTTGATGTAGTCGAGCAAAAGCTTTCGCATCCGTCAATTCGTGTGTGTGTGTGTGTGTGTGTGTGTTGTGTGTGTGTGTGTGAAAAAAGGCGAGATGGAAAACAGCGTTTGATATTCTACTGGTCTCGCAGCATTTCCTAAAGAACTAGGTCAGCACTCTGAGTGTGTGTGTGTGTGTGTGTGTAAGTGAGCGTCGCAAACGTGTGTGAGTGTGTGTATGTACGTGTGTCTGTGAGTGTGTATAAGCGTCACAGACGTGTGTGTGTGTATGATTGTATGAGATTGTGTGTGTGTCTGAGTGTGTGTGTGTGTGTGTGTGTGTGTGTGTGTGTGTCTGTGAGTGTTGTCTCTGTGGTGTGTTTGATAAAGCATCATCATCCTCTCCTGCTGTATAGTTGTGTGTGTGGTGTGTGTGTGTGTGTCTGTGAGTGAGTGTGGTGTGTGTGTGTGTGTGGTCTGTGAGTGTGTGTCTCTGTGTGTGTTTGATAAGCATCATCATCCTCTCCTGCTGTATAGTGTGTGTGTCACACACAGATGGTTTCCCGCAGAGAGAGAGACGGTGGGGAGACATTATGAACAAATGACTGTTATTTATGGGATGGAACATTCGAAACACACTGGCTCTGATTTGAGAAGCCGTATGAATATAAGAAATAACAGGCGCTGGTCCTTCCACACATCATCAGCTGCTGCGTATCGATCGTTCTGGAGGCTGAGCCGACCCGTGAGGGTCCAGACGTGCACTTCATCAAGCGGCCCATCGAGTCAACACACACACACACACACACACACACACACACACACTCCCACATCGAGACCTGCAGCATCTCAGTGTCTTAAATCATGTCCTTACAATACATTACACATGGATTAGAGCCGCATGGACTGGATCCCGCACATGTGTGTGTTCCCCAGTGATGAGAGTAATTGAGTTACAGAAGAGTGTGTTCAATAAACTGCACTCAGAGCTTCTTCAGTCTCCGTCTGGACAACACACACATCGCTCCTCCTGTCCTCCTGCGCTTCAGTCTCGTCAGATCACCAACACTGGGACTGTGTGTGTCAGTGAGTGAGTGAGTGTGTGTGTGAGTGAGTGTGTGTGTGTGTGTGTGTGTGTGTGTATGTGTGTGTGTAGATGATTGTAAGAGCTCCTCTCACAGCTGGGCTCCTCTGAGATGCTCTCAGTTTGTGTCTGTCAGACTTCACGCGTCTCTGAACATGTTTGGGTGTGTTCAGTGTTCCAGCGCTGGTACTCTAATGAATAAAACACCAGAGCAACACACACTTCCTACTGAAAGTCTTCATTCAAGATGCCTAATCCATAATCTCATAATGCGTGTTAGATGTTCTAATAAGCACAACAAACAGCATCTTTAAACCCTGTGAGCGCATCTGCACAGTTAGCAGTGTTTACTGGGACCAGTAAGAGGCCACTCTGAACATGTTTACGTTCACTATAAGCATCTGGCAGACGCTTTTATCCAAAGTGACTTACACATTGCATTCAAAATATACGCTTTATCGGTTCTTTTCATTCCCTGGAATTGAACCAGTTCTCTATGGTCTGAGGTACAGAAATGAACACCCTAGCAACAACCCAAAACAGCCTAGCAACAACTTAAGACTCCTTAGCAACACCCTAGCAATAACTCATAACTCCTTGAAACACCCTAACAACCCATAACTCCTTAGCAACTCCCAGCAATGTCCCAGAACTCCATAGAAAACATCCTGAAAACAACCCAGAACTCCCTAGCAACAACTCAAACCTCCCTAGCAACAACCTAGCAATAACCTACAACTCCCTTGCAGCACCCAATATCAACAACCAGAAACTATCTAGCAAGTAGCAACATCCTAATTACTCAAACCTCCTTTCCAACAACCCAGAACTCCTTAGCAACAACCTAGCAATAACCCACAATTCCCTAGCAACATCCTAATAACAACAACCCATAACTCCCTTGCAACAACCCAGAACTCTTTAGCAAGTCCCTAGCAACAACCTAGAACTCCCTTGCAGCACCCTAACAACAACCCAGTACTTCTTAGCAACGCCCTAGTAACAACCCTGAACTCCCTAGCAACACCCTAAAAACAACAACCAGAACTCTAGCAACATCCTAAAAACTATCCAGGACTCCCTAGCAACAACTCATAACGCCCTTGCCAATTATAGAGGAACAAAAAGGTACACTTGTATTTATCAAAAATCCTACATCATTTTGAATCATCGAGCATTAGGCTAGAAAGAAAACACAGATTGTTCTTACACAGTCCCTGAGATCCACTTCTTCCATGATCATGATCCTCCACAGCGCCACCTGCTGCTTCACCGCGATACTGCACCCACAGGGCAACTCATGTCTGTACAGGCACCACTTCATTAATCCTATTATTTTGACAATTTTCTTCTTTTTTATGTTAGTTTTTATATACAAATGTTGAAATGTTGTGCATATAACATCATCTTCACAAAAAGTAAAGCAGCGCTTAATATATTTGCATTTTACATTTGAAAATGTGGATATTTAGAACAAGGTCGCCACCTTCAGGCAGGAATATCAAACTATACACACAGTGTTACACACATTCTCTCTCTTCTCTCTCTCTCTCACTCTCACACACACCACACACACACACACACACTTTAACTTCATCTTTTATTTAAACCCAAAACACTACAGTGTAAAATCTCTGTTCTTCTAAGTCTCTCTAAAAGCGTTCCCTGTTTTTTATGCCTCAAACTAAATCTCTCCCAGCAGACAAAAATATGTATAAAAATGTTTAGCTACCTTTCCCATTAAATTATAAAAGGCGTATTTCTGATTGTTCAAACTTTTTTATTGAATGTTTTAAAATGGTTCCTTAGTTATGTGAAGGTTAAGGGAACATTCCATTGTATCATCCTCAAACACTATGGGAACGTTACTTTTCAATGTTCTCTGGGAGTTCTGAAACAAGTTACATTTAAAGAACGTCATAAAGAACGTGTTTAAAGAACGTTAGTCGAACATCAAACTGAACGATTTCAGAAAAAAACGAATGGAAGATGTATAAATATACGTTTTTTATGCTAACGTTTTGAAAACATTATTAAAGACCAGATAACTTTGAAGGAACGTTCTATCAATGTTACTGGAAGAACGTTCATTCATAAGTTTCTCCACTGGTCCAGTTTAAACTTTAACCTCCTCAGTCTATCATGGATCAACTATTGTGTAATATTTCTCCTCAGCTGCTGATTCAGGATAATCCACGAGTTTATTATATCCCGCTGAACCGATCCAGCAGAGATTTGTTAAAAAATAGCGTCGTTTACACAGAAGCCTTTTGCGCTGCGCTTTACATAACCCTGCTAGCGTTCCGTTCACACTGCTTCTACTGTGAACGGGCTCTATGCACGGCGTTTATTTCCGGTGAAGGATTAGGATGCTCGATAACTTCCGCCGATCATAGAGTCCAATGCAATACCGAGAATTTATATTGAATTTTATACTCCATGGTTATACTAATGAAACGTTAGTCAAAAAACAGATAAAACAGACACCCCTCGTTGTGTTTATGCTTCTTTTTAAAATTATATTAAATAAACATAACTATATATAAAATTACATCTAAACGTATGTACGTTCGTTTCAAAGACGGGAGGACAGTAAATATTGAAGACTCT